AAATTCAAAAATACATATTTGAGCCAAAAATCAGAAAATGCAAAAATTAATAGAAAAATGTAAAAAAATACAGAAATGCACAAAATGTATAACAATTACAAAAAATTAAAAATGCAAAATATAAAAAAATGCAGAATTTTTTGCAAAAGAATGTAGAAAATGCAAAATTGGGAGGAGGAGGAGGACGCCCTTCCACTAAGCAAAAATCCACTATTGAAAGGCCTTAGTTATAGAGAATGGAGAAAAGGCCTTAAGAAAACTAGAGACAAGGGCCATCGGTGGTACAAAGGCGGTGATCGAACTTGGAGGTGATTGGTGAACAGAGGCGAAAGAGGAGAACAGAGGAAGCACCGGTGGTGATTGGTGAAGCTACAAACTTGCAAACCCTACTTCTTGTCTTCTTTGAAAATAGGCATTGGGAGAGAGATCCAATCTTCTCTTGGTCGAAGCAAAAGACCATACAACATGCCAACATCTGAGGGGGCACAAGAGGAGAACAGGGGGCAGAGATTGAGTGAAGCTTCGAGCATCCAAACCTTAACCCTTAGAAACTTCAATCCTTGACCAATCCCTAACTGACAAGATTAAGAGAAGAGAGGCAGCGATCAAGTGAAGCTTCAAGCTTCACCTACCTGAGAGCTAACGAAGGTGAAAGGTTTGAGAGAAAACTTCAAACCCTAGACGTTTGAGAATGGAAAAGTGATTGAAAAAACCTTTGAAGTTTAGAAGTTTTGAACCCTAAACAGACTATAGACTCAAAGAGAGTGCTTGGTGGAGGAAAGATCAGAAAGGTGGAGATTAAAGGTGGAGTTAGAGGAGATTCTTAGAAAAGAAGAAATTTCTTGGAAACGAAAATCGAAATGTAATTGGCTTTAGAAGGAGATAGCAACACAAAAGTTTTTCACTCCTTGGCAAATGGAAGAAGAAGAAGAAAGAATTTGATCTCCAGTATTGAGGTTGCAAGGCAGATTCTTAGCAAAGAGGAGGAAATTGTTAACACTTTTTCTAATGAAAAAAAAAAAAAAGAAGTATAGGTGGTTGACCAGGGGACATGGAGATAAATCTACTATGGGTAAAGAGGACTGCTAATTCCATTGCAAAACAATGGATGGGAAGAGAGTATATTTTGGGCTATGTTGTAATTGATCCTTATCTTGGGGAGAGTTAAAGAGTGCTTACCTCTCTCATGTATTTTATTATATCTTTCCTATTAATATAATTTCAGTTATTGATCAAAAAATAACTGTTAAGGATTTTGTGGATCATTTTAAAGCAATCTTTGCCACTTTAGGAAGGAGAAATTTGGAAAATTGGGACCTTGAATGGGAACAGGGTACCTAAAATTCAATCAACTCTCTTAGAAAGAAGTTTTAGTTTGGAAGTGGTCCATGAAGTAGTGTTTTCGATGGAAAGATCAAAATCTCTAGGACCAAATGGCTTTTTACCATGATTGTTGGGAAATTATAAAGGGTGATTTGATGGTAAGAGCTATGTGGCGGGAATCAATTTGAAAGAGGGTAGCATTCACCTATTGGTAGAAACCCCAAGTTGTGAGGTGAAAGAGTGGCCCCTAGATTATCTTGGCCTACCATTGGGAGGATACCCGAAAGCAGAAAGATTTTGGAAACCAATCCTAGAAGGATTTGGCAGAAATTGGCTCTATGGAAAAGGAGATATATTTCTTTAGGGGGAAGAATAATATTAATTAAGTCCACCTTAGCGAATCAGCCCATTACCTGTCCACCTTTAGGATCCCAGTCAAAATAGACAGCTAGAAAAGATTATGAGGGGCTTCCTTTGGGAGCAGGGGATGAAAGGAAGGATCACTTGATAAAATGGGAACAGGTATGTAAATCAAAGGAGCAGGGTAGTTTAGGTATTGGGAATCTGATCTAGAGGAATATGGCTCTACTAGGGAAGTGGATTTAGAGATTCCCCCTAGAAGGAGATAGACTTTGGCACAAAGTCATTGAAAGCATACATGATTTAGAGGAGAATAGCTAGGATGCGAAGTTGGACTCTCATACCTCATCAAAATCGTCATAGAAAGCAAATAACAGAGGTACTCCCTGCTTCCCTAAACTCCATTCAGTTTGATGTGGGGTGTGAAAATAAAGTTCTTTTTCAGAAGGATCTTTGAGTAGGTGATTTGCCCCTTTGCAAACAATTTCCAATCCTTTACTCCCTGTCAACTTACAAGTTTGAACCTATTTCCAAATTTGGTGCTCTATCCCCAACTGGGATCAATTGGGATTTTGGGTTCAGGAGGGGCTTAAGGGATAACAAATGTGGGTCACTCATTTCTTTACTTTCCTCTTTGGAGAATGTTTCTTTGGACCAAAATACACCTGATGCTAGGGTTTGGACCCCCTCCCCTGATGGTTTGTTCTTTGATGCTTCCTTCTTTAACTTTTTAGTTCATTCCACCTTCAGTGGTTTGTCTTTTCCAGTGAAGGAAATTTGGTGTAAACCTATCCCACCTAAAGTACAAGCTCTGTACATGCTATAGAAAAGGAGGCCAAATTCCTACCTCTCTCCTCATGTGTGTGCTTTGTAAGGATAGTGATGAAACCATTCCTCATTATTCTCTTGTCCCCTTGTGCTTTTCATTTAGGAATATTTTTGTTCTCTCTTTGGTTGCAAATGGGTCCCCCCACAAGAAGTGGTAAGCCTGTTCAACCCCAACTTCCTAAGGCTCAAGCAAAAGAGACGGAAAATCATGTGGAGGACAGTAAGAGCTATATTGGTTTGGACAATATGGGAAGAAAGGAACAATAGAATCTTCAATGAGAAAGCAGGTCTAAGGAGGAACTATTGGAAGCTATCTTAGTGAGAGCTGCGCACTGGGTAAAAACATTGGAGCTGTTCAAAGTCTTTTCAGTTAATAGCGTTATTAGAGCTTGGTCTAAAGTGGTGCAAACAGGTACACACACTGAAGAGGTGAGAATGGATTGGAAGTCCCCAGCTGTAAATAAACTGAAACTGAACTTTGATGGTAGCTCTATGGGCAACCTGGGAAGAGCAGGAATTGGGGAGTGATTAGAGATTATCAAGGATTGATGGTGGTATTGTATTCAGGTCCAGTGGGCTTAGGAGACTCAATTAAGGCAGGAATTTTGGCACTTCTACAAGGTTTGAGATTTAGCACAGCAGCTTGGTCTTAGAGATTTGGAAGTGGAGGGTGACTCACAACTAGTAATTCATTTGGCAAATCAATTCAAAGCAGCTTCTTGGAAATATAGACATGCTTTCAGGGAAATTGATGTTATTGCAAAGAAATTAAATTCACATTTCATCTCGGTGAGAAGAACTGCCAATGGGGCAGCAGATGTACTAGCTAAACAGGGAGTTGACAGGACAAATCTCTTTAGGGAAACTTGTAAAATTGTTACTGAAGGGTGTTGGAATCTTCCAACAGTCGTATTAAGCTTTATTAGTTAATTTTAATGAAATCCTTTTGCTGATAAAAAAAATAGTATAATATGACACCTAATAAATAATATATATAAATATTTTATACCATATAATGTATAACATAAATTTTATACATATATTCTATGTCATATGCTATAAAGTAATATATATTTAAAATTTTATATTTAAGCCATGAAGAAAACTGAAGAGAGGAGAGAGCTTGAGAGTTCAGCAATGAGGGTCTGAGAATGAGAGTTTCGAACCTACTTTCTCTCAACACCCTAACATTCTTTTATTAAGATATATTTGAATAATTACAAGGAGGCCCTTAGGTGGGCAAGAATTTACAAAGAACTTAATATAGACAGGATGGGCCCAGAATAAGGCCCATTACAGAAAAGAAACATAAATAACAAGAAAGAATAAACAACCTATGGGCCATTCGGCCCATCTTCTATACAAGCCATAAGCCCGGAACCCAGCCCATGATCCCCATTTTGCTCAGTGGCAGTACAAAATTTTCAAAAAAAAAAAAAAAAATCATTTCTTCCTAGTATCTCCAAGATTTTGCTCATATGTCGACAGCATTTCAAATTTCATTGATAGACTAATATTACATTTATGATTTAAAATTCTTAACTTTTTTTAAAAATCTTTTCCTAAAAGAACCAATGGGAATCAGTGATTGGCTGATTGGCTTACTATTTAATATGATTCACTTACTAAGTCACTATAATTCAAAGAAAAATAAAAATTGCACACTATAGATGGCTGTGTTAAAACAAAGGGTTGATATCCTTGTATTCTGGGACCTTTCTATATTATTATACTCTGGATTGCAGAGTAGCTAAAGTACTTTTAATCTGTTATTAAATTAATAAAAACCATCCTTTGCTGATCAAAAAAAATGAAAATTGCACACAACTATAAAAGAGTATTCTCAACCAAATCAAATATATAGTAACAAAAAAGGAAAAGTCAAAATCGCAATTGGCATATGTAAAGAAGAAAATATGGCAAAAAACTACAAGGGAAACAAAGAGAAAGATACCTACGTAAGTCTCTCAATATTTTCTTATTTGATTTATACAGTTACTTATTATGGCTTTTGAGTCTTAAATTTGCAATTATACTTCTTCCAATGATTCCTTGTAGGTTTATTAACTAATTCCATGTTTCTAGAAAATTTCCCTAATTTTTTAGATTTTCAAAATATCATAATGGAATTAGTGAAATATCACTTAAATTTCCCCATCTCTGCATGGTGAAATGTGAAATGCCCATCAATGTTGAAATTGCTAACCATGGTCTCAAGTAAGAAAAACTCCCCTCCAACCTTTTATTTTGGAATTAGTACTCAGAAAAGGGGAAAAAACAACAAGAAAAGCAATGATCTGGCTTCATTTTAAGAAGCAAGACTCTCAAACACTTTTGGCACTAAAAACTATCTGATGATCATGAGCAACAGGAAACTTTAAGAAACAACTTTTGGCACTAAAAACTTAATTGTTGCATATTAAGTTGAGTAACTATTTTAAGAAACAACTTTTCTCAATTGAAGTGTAGCTCTTCCATAAGATTTATACCTGATGTAGATAGGCACTAGTCCTTCCACCTTAGGAAGTGACTTCAGGTGTTCCAGAACTTTCATTCCTTCAACCCCATACTTTGCATCACCTGAAACGGTACTAAGGTAGTTAAATTCAAGTTGTAGAGTAGAAACTTCTGAAGTGCTACTCAATCCATCAGGAGCTGGATGTGCTGAGCGATCACGAAGGACTACATCACTATAAGGAATAGGTGTTGGACTTGAAGTAAATGCAGATAACAGACGATCAGCCAAGTTCTTTGCAGTTTCTAGATAAACATTTGGTTTAGTCCCATTGTTTGTTACAGAGTATATTCCATGTTCTCCCCCACTTAGATGATAAGCACTAAGAAGTCCACCTAGAACACGTATGGTAGTTTCAAATAAATTGACTTGACCTTTCTCATTAATCCTTTCTGGAAGATTGTTTTCTATCCATGTGCTTGCTTCAGAGACAATTTGATCAAGACCCATTATCATAGCTGTATCCAATGAATCCACAGCTGTAGCACCAAGACCCCCTAAACCATCGGTTCCCCTCTGGCCCAATGGCATAAGTTCATCATAACCCATTGCATAATTTCTGTAGCCAGACCAGGCATGGATAAATGCCTCCTTAATACTGTTTTGCCTAGATTTCCAAATAGAATTATTAATTGCATTTTCCTCATCAGGAGACAACCGTGGAGGAAGCCTTGGTGCTCTTCTCCAAAGCCTTCCAAGTCTGCTACCACCACCCATGACATTCTTCTCTTCTTTTATGCTACCTTCTGTTAGTCCATCAGAAGCAGCATGGATTGGACTTGTATGTATTAGCATTAGACATGCTAAACCACCAATCATCAACAACAATAGAAATTTCCCGGTACTACATCTTACACAATCACGTCTCATGTTACTGGTAAGTAAGGCTTGACTAATCACCTAGGCAAGCAAAAAAAACATATAAATGAGAATTTTCAGAACAGATAATTTGTTACTTCAAATCTTTAATAAAATTAAGGATTAGCAGCATACAAACCAAAAGAATGCCATATAATAAATGGTCCTTCAAAAGAGAAAACATGTAAAATGGACCATCATAAGAAGATTTAAAAAGTTAGGGCATTAGGCCACATTCTAAATATTACATTTCCAACAAAGTAAAGAATCCCATGCATAGAAAAGATCTCTGAAAGAGAGAACAAGCAAAAACAAAGACCACAAAATGTAAACAATAGCATAGGCCACATTTCAGTTGCTAGCAATGCACAAAAAGAATGTGTACTAAGGAATTAGTGAAAAGAAGAAATTGAAAAAGGGAGAAACAGGCGAAGAAGATCATAACACGCATGTGTGAGGTAATAGCATCTGATCGACTCACATGTCAGATAAGTTTAATGAGCCACGATAGAGATGTTTGTAAATACCAAAGGACACTTCTTTATCCTCCTCAAATATTCTTTACCTATCCATTAGTTTACCGATTACAGTTAAACTGCTTCTTTCAATGTTGAAGTCACAAGTGGCTTCAACAGTAGTGCAGTCCCTGTATAAATCATGGATGTCCATGAAGAACTAATCATAGAAAAGAAATAGCTTGGCTACAAGAAAGAAATACAAGAATTGTCCCTAATGCTAGATTGTGCAAAAGTTGGAACTGCAGTGTTTAGGCATATCTGTTATTTATTAGATGAAACCTAAATGGAAAATTCTAACTGATATTTAAATGATTCAAGGTCAGCCAAACCAAATGATTGTAAAGCAATGGCAGATGTGTTTGCACTTTTCATTCTTTAAATTTCAGCTTGATCAGTGAACCCTAGTTAGGGGGATGCAGCTATGAATCTTTATGGTTTTAGGCCATCTTCCTGTGGCCTGAAGGAACTGAACTTCATCACATTGAGAGGCATGCAGTATTCACACATGTCTGAGATAAGAGAAAAACATCCTTTCGGTTAAACCAATCAGCATCCAAGAGTCGGCCTATGTCTTCACTTTAGTGATAAACTGAAAATTAAAAAAGCTTCCCTTGTGGACAGTTGAAAACTAAATGATCATCAGAAAAAAAAAAAAAAAAATCCTTAGGCTCAGTTTGTTTGCAATTCCAATTTCATTCTCGAGTGTAAATGCATGGGACTGCAAATTCTGATTTACTTTTGCTTCAGATTTGATTGTCTTGCTTGATGTGAAAGGCAACGTAGGCAGGATGAAGGTTATTTGTCTGAGAGTTGTAAGGTAGGAAGCAAAATGATGTGGTTCCCACTTTATATCAGAGAAAATCAAGGTAGGAGGAACTAGGAATGTGGTGCAAATTTTGCATCAGTTTTTTAAATTCTTTTTTTGTCAGCAACGGAAACATTTCGCTAATTTAATATTTACAAGAAACACACAATTTTAAAGAATCCCAAAACAGATAGCTATCCCATTGGTTTCTAATGACCCCTTGCTTACCTAGCATATCAACCATTCCATTTGCTGTCATATTAACCCACTCAACCCTAATTTGTAAATTTATTGTCAAACACTTGAACTTCTTTACCAGATTTCTGTATGCCCAGAGAGATTTTTCCTCATTCAGTAACCAGCTTATTACCACTTGAGTCACCTTCCATAGTTAGATTAGTCACATCCATTTCCATAGCCTTCTGCATTCCAAACATAGCTGCCAGAATTTCAGCTCTAGTCGAATCCCCATTTCCAACTGAACCTGAAAAAATTGCAACTACATCCTCCTCATTTCTAAAAAAAATATCCGATTCTAGAAGGGCCCGAATTTCCAACACTGCTGCCATCAAAATTCAATATTTAAGAAATCCCTGCTCAGCCTTGTCCACACATATCTCCCTCCTCTGTTTTTGAAGGCAACCCCACTACAGCAGCCCAATTCCGTATAACATATTCCATGGAGAATGATGTAAAAAGATCCACAGTTTTTAGCCACAAAGCTGCCCTATAAGTGACACATTCAAAGAATTCTTCTTTATTGTTTTCCTGTCATCAAAAATTCTAGCATTCCTTTCCTCCCATAAAATCCACACCATCGCTGCCCTTTCACATCCCCACATAATTCTCCCCCTTCTTTTTGGCCATCTAAAGATTGTTGTTGAGAACAAGCTAGCCACACAAGTAGGAGTATTCCACCTGCACCCAAAAGAGAAAAAGAGCATTTCCCAAATACTAAGAGCAAACGCACAGGAGAACAGACCCGGCATCAGATATACATAGCGCAAACCAATACAGGGAGATATACCAATAAGGCCTCCTTCTCTGCAATAAATCACGAGTATTGATACCTTCATAAAAAATTTTTCTGAGAAGAGGTAAAGTATTCATACTTTCATGAAAAACTATCCAACAAAGAACTCCAACTTTAGGGGGTATGGACCCATATCGAATCTCTTTAAGAGAGAAATGAAGGAGAATTGAAAGAAAAAATTTAAAACTTGGGTTTTGGAGATGCAATAAAGGAGAAGGTAAAATGGCATAAAAGTTCAAAACTGACAGAATGCTAATGGCAGGAGCAGAATGTTGAAATCTGAAAGTACAGGATAGCTCTCTGTCACAAATGAAACTGTAGAGAGACTGGGCCGAATGGGCCCTAGTATCTATTCTTGTAGTGTGTTACTTATTTGTTTGTTAATGGGCCTATTATTTCTTTTTGTAAGCTTACTTTATGTTTCTGCCTAGCTGGCCGCCCACTTAAGGGCATACTTATAATTAGCCTAATGAATGATGTTTAACAAAAGGACTAGAGAAGGGAGAGTGGAGATGATCGAACTCTTCTTCTTTTCTCCATCTTCTTCCTTTGTACTGTTGTTTTCTACTTTTGTTCTTTCTTCTCTAATTTTAACCAAGTTTATATCAGTTTTAGAGGACTGATTCACATTGAAAGTTTAGGGACCTAAGTGTCACTACCCCCAAAGTACAAGGTAGTTCTCTGTATTTTACCCAACAAAAAATGAGTTGTAGTTTCTTCCTCTAAATAGTCTATGAACCACCAAGGCACCAACCATAAATGTGGCTTTCTCACTATCTTTTGTACTACGTATCTATTGAGCTGCTTTTATTTTGGAAAATCCTAGCATCCTTCTCTTGCCATAATACCCAAACTCCAATCAAACCCTTTAGGAAAATTTGAATGCACAAGAATATCAGTAATGGGCTTAGCCTTAAAAGAAGAAAGAGAGAACAAAGATGGAAAAAGATCCTTAGAAGGTACTTTCTCTACACACAAACCCTCCCAAAAGTTAATTTTATTACTAGAATAAGCATCATGTCTTAGAAAATTAAAGAAAACAAGGATATCATAAATTGCTTTCCAAGGAGAGGCAAGAGTAGCTCTAGGTTAGAGTCCAACAGCCCATCCATTCCCATTCAGCCCATAAATGCTTACCACCACCTTGTGCCACAATTTTTCTCTCAATGACTCAATTAGCAATCTCCATAGCCATTTTCCCAATAGAGCCACATTCTTCTTTTCTGAATTCCCAATCCACAGTCCACCATGCTTTTTCCTTCTACACACATTTTCCCACCTAATCAAATGATCTCTCTCTCAGTAGAATCCCAAAGAAAGTCCCTCATTCTTTTTTCTACTTTCTTCGCCACCAACAAAAGCATTTTAAAATCCGACAGATAGTAAATTGGAAGATTAGCTAAAGTCAGCTTTATGAAAGTTACCCTTCCACCAATCAAAGTTCAATTTCTTTTCCACGCAGCCATCCTCTTAGCAATCCTTTCCAAAGTGACATTCAAAAAGTATTAGATCGAAGGTTGGCACCTAAAGAAAGTCCTAAGTAGGTCATTGGCCATGATGTTATGTTATGACACACCCCAAGGATTCAGCAATTAGATCAATTTCTTCCTTCTCCATATTAATTCCTACCACCAAACTTTTCTCCAAATTGACCTTCAAAATTTAAATTTGAAATTCTTTGGAATATTTTAACCACCAACCTCAAATTGCTAATTCCGTGATCATTTTCCCCATTCCTAAAAGTGATAATCGTAAACAAGTTACCACCACGTTGTTCCTCCCCACTCTCCAACCCTTAAACAACTGCAATATCCACTTTTGAAATTAATTTTCTCAAAACACCAGCTATAAGGGTAAAGAGAAATGGTGTTAGCAGATCCCCTTGCCCAAGACCCCTATGAGCTTCAAAGAGATCATGTACCACTCCATTAATTATTATTGAGAAATGACAAGATTGTAAACATCCTCTAATCCATTTACACCATTTCTCTCTAAATCTACAACTTTTCATGATCTCTATCAAAAAAATCCCAATCCACGAAATCATAGGCACCAAAATCTAATTCATGATCAGCCTACCTTCTACAAAGGCACCCTAAGATTGTGAAGTAATGGGAGGGAGGTCCTTTCTAAGCCTAAAGGGACAAAACCTTAGCTTATAAATATTTCTCACCAAATTTTTTATCAGTAACAGAAAATTTTAATAATTAATTTAAAAGTAAACAGGTACATATAGGGTAGCCTCGGTTACCCCTGTAAACAAAAGTTTGTGATCCCATAACACTTTGTTTTTACAGTTACAACTGAGCTACTTCTCACCAAATTGATCGGCCTAAAATCTTTGGGATGACAAGATTAACCCTTTTGGGTAACACTGCTACAAATTTAGTATTAGCCCCCAAATTGATTAAACATCTCTCATAAAATTCTTTAAACACCATAAATAAATCATCCTTCACAATCTCCCAACAATCCTAATAGAATGCCATGGTAAACCCATTTGGTCCTAGGGATTTTGATCTTTTGATAGCAAAAATTGCTTTTTTTATTTCCTCCAATTCAAAACTTCTTTCCAAAGAACAAATCATATCTTCCCCCACCCTAGGCCAATCAAGTCCATCAACCTCCAACCCTGTATTCAAAGGCCTTCTATATAGGCCATTACCCAATGTTGGTCCCAGCCATC